TATTGAAGTTTTTCTTATTGTAATAATGATCACTGGTAGAGTTTTCAAGTTGTCTTTGGGTAGATATTGAAGGAAATCCACCATGCCCCCTGCCCTAAGGAAATCTGAATGATAGGTTTCCATCACTGGAAGTTTCCTGAGGAAATGGAATGGCTTCAGGCACCTGGGTTGGTTTCAACTTGTTCTTTGTTGGTTTGTCTCTCCTTTCAGGACCTGATGTTTTGGGACTATGGGAAATTTGAGACCTAATTATACACAGAGGGTAGAGGCTCCAGTTATTTAAGGAAGCTTACAAGCCAGTTCATATTTTTAAGAAAGCTATTGTAGGCAGCATCAATTTTTAGTTTAACAGAGCAGCTTGTGTGTTTAAAAACATAGAATGTACTTGAAAGAAGACTTTCTCCTTTCATGCACAAATAGTATGTGTTTGTCAGAGAAATCAGAAAATTCTATTTGTTTCCCAGAGGTAACAGTTAAGAAGTTTATACCATCTAAACTTTTGTCTCATGACATTTAACACATGTGTGTTTACAAAAGTGACATTCATTAATAAAACTATAAATTAACAAAACTATAAATGTCAGTAAATGTGGAAATACAATCTTTAGTGGAGGATTAATAGTCTGTTGTATAACAATTAGTCCTACTTTAGAACTTTTAGGTTTTTCTGCTATAATGTGTCTTTCTTTAGTTTTGGGGGTAAATAAATATTTATATACATACTGCAATGGAATGACTCAGATGAATGGGAATGGGAAGGGGAGTTTGCTAGTGACCCTTAGGAGTTGATACCATCAGAGGATATCTAGAGCCATGAGGGATGGTGTATTATTGGCCTAGGTGGTTTCTTGTTTTATCCTATTTTGTCAACAAAAAATCACCTCTTTCCCTGTTACACATTGAGGGCTACTACATTTCAGTGTAGTTTTTACACTTTGGAAAGGGACATAAAGGGCAGTTACCCACTGGGTAAAGCTATTGAGCCACTGCTGAGAAGGGAGATATTGCAGATATTTTGAAACCTAAGTATTAAACATTATTTTTTAAAAAAAAAACAGTGAAGAAGAGACCAGAAGGTGTCATTAAATGAGGATCTTCTCACGGCCAGAGTAGCTCAGAAGTAGTATGTACAGCAAGCTCATCTCAGATCTCAGCAAACCATGTCAGCATATACTTGGTTAATAAACCTGTTCTATAAGAAAATATTGCATTTCCTAACTGAAGTTGCTTTGTGGGGTTGGGAGCATTATATGTAATAGCAATTTAAAAGGCCGTTAAATGGTTTATGCACCAAAAGTAGCCTTCTGGAGCTCCTGAATTTACAGATCGAAGTAAGTATGAAGTTCCTTTAGTTGAACCTTAGTGGTTGTTTTACTCATTATTTTTGTTCTTCAGATATAGATTTTATAAGTATTTAAATTAATTATTCAAATGCTAACTAAGACAGTGTACACTGGCCAGCACTGGTGGCTCACTCCTGTAATCCTAGCTACTCAGGAGGCTGAGATCTGAGGATCGAGGCCACCAGAAAGCTGGAAGTAGCACTGTGGCTCTAGTGGTAGAGTGCTTGCTTTGAGCTCAATTGCTCATGAGCCCCCATATAAAATGAAACAAAACACACACAAAAAAAACAAAAAAAATATTGCTGTAGACTGTGGAAAGTTTTAGTAAATGTGAAGGCCTTTTTCTAAACTTGACACGTGTCAAAAATGTTACTAGTAAAATAACATGATTATTAATTTGTATTGCTGTTTGGCAAAATAGATTCATGGGTAGTTTTAAAGTCTGAGGTCATTGTTACATGTACAACAATTTTGATCTTGCATGAGGTCAGCTAGAAGCTTTGAGCGTCTCCATGTTGCTTTTGTTTAGAAGTTTTGAAGCAGGATGTTTACTCTAGACTATAGAATGGAGTAATCTTGAAAGGCTATGGAGAGAAGGATCTTAAAAAAAGACTCTGGAAGCCAGGCACTGGTGGCTCATGTCTCTAATCCTAGCTATTCAGGAGGCTGAGATCTGAGGATTGCGGTTCAAAGTCAGCCTGGGTAGGAAAGTCTGTGAAACTCTTATCTCCAATAAACCACCGGAAAACTGGAAGTGGCTCTGTGGCTCAAGTGGTAGAGCACTAGCCTTGAGCTGAAGTGCTGAGGGACAGTGTCCAGGCCTAACGTTCAAGCCCCATGACCAAACAACAACAACAACAAAGACTCTGGACTTGAGAAGTAGATGGGGAATTCTAAAACAGAGAGAATCAGAAAGGATATGTTAAGAAGGGAATAATTTTGTTGTCTTAGTTAATAGTGAGTAGAAGCCATTAGTTTATATTGCTACCTCTTATGAGTTGCCATGGCTATTAGAAAATATCTGATGAAGGCAGGTTCTGGTGGCTCATGCCTATAATCCTAACTATTCAGGAGGCTGATATCTGAGAATCCAGGTTCAAAACTAGCCTAGGTCAAGGACTTTGCTTGAGACTTTTTTTTTATTATTGTGAAAATACTGTACAGAGGGATTACAATTACATGGGCAAGATGCTTGAGACTCTTATCTCCAATTAACCAACAGAAAACTGGTACTGGAGCTGGGCTCAAAGAGGTGTAGAGCAAAAAGAGCTCAGGAACAGTGCCTAGACCCAGAGTTCAAGCCCCATAACTGACAGAAAAACAACAAGAAAAGAAAGTATGTGATGGAAGTTAGGTATTTCTTTATTAAGGGGAATAGTGATAACCATGGCAGACCATTTTTGATTCCCTCTATTGTTTCCTACCACTTGATTTTTAAATTAAAACTTTTTGGAAATTATCTTTAAGTAGTTGTGCAAAGGAGCTGTCTTTCAACAAAACAGCTTACGAATATAATGTATCTTAAAGTTTACCATTATTTAAGAGGGATTAGATGCTTTACTCTTCCCCCAGAGAGACGTGAAATAACAGCTTGGCCTTGGTGTGGCCTCTGTGGTCCTGAATGGTTTTCCATCCTGGTAGACTTCCGTGTGAGAGGAAGGGAAAAAAGAGGAACTTAGGTGAGAAGCTGGTTGAATACTCCACTAGGAGTTGTTCTATAGCTTCTGTAAGCCCCTTCAGTCTGTTGAGGATTTTCTTGGCTGTTACTCTGCTGAGGAGGTTTTGAGGGTCTAGTGCTAGTAAGATCCCCTTTTCTGCATGATCTCTCATTTGGTGTGTGTATCTTCTCACCATTCTGGGCAGTACTTGATGCACTTGAAGTTTCTTTGCAGTGCTTATATGCAGCGATTCAATTTGGTTCTACATTTCTCTCTAGAGAATGAACATCATATTCTCCCCGACCATCCAAATTGGTTTAGAGAAGTTTCAGTAGAGTTTCTGTCCCCCCTCTACCACGCCCCCTTCCCCCCGCCCCGCCAATAATTCATCTACGTGGTATGAAGTCAGCAAAGTATTTTTGAGGATATTGCGCAGTTATTGATAGAACACCTTTTGAGCCCTGAGAACATGAGCTATGTGGTAGGTTTTCCGCAGTGGTTCAAAAGCTTCCAGAAAAGGCTAGGCAGACTTGTATCCTGGAGGGTGGGGTAAGGGAGGTATACCACATTAGAGTCTCACAAGAGAGACCACCCAAGTCATTTACAAGGTCTGGAATATCTTTTGAAGTTCTAACTACTAACAGGGGTGAACCAGTTGTCCATTCTCAGTCCATAGCCAGCTTGGGGTTCAGTCAGAAAAGTTAGAAAAGTGTGGGGAGTAGGAGAGCTTTTAAAAAGTGAATTTTGAGAAATCCTGGTAAGTACTTTGTTTACTGAGGATATCCTTACACTTTTCACTTCCTATTATGTACTTGTGCATCTGGGAAATTGTGGTATGCAGTTCCTAAACTTATTTAGCTTTAGAGTTCTTTTTTTAATGCATAGAACATTTTATCAAATTATTTTTCGCCAAAACCACCTTTAGCAACCTGTTACTTGTAATTTCCATTTCTTAATCTTCCAGATCCACCCAACCAAATACGTTGTAGTTAATAACATTATTTTTTTAAAGTCCACAGCTTAAGTTTTTCATAAAATCAAGTGGACAGCTGCTGTCGGATATGGCAGATAACTTAAAAAGGATTTTTTTAAAGACCTATAGGTCCAACAAACCTCTCTGAAAATCAGTGCTTGTAGAGCTAGAGTATGTTTCATGAAAAAGAGATTCACTGAGATTTTGGTAAAATTGTTGGGCTACATTTTGAAACTTAGCATTTCTGTGATTTGTTTCTGTGATATCTAAATGTCATCTATTACATACGTTTTAAGCAATCCAACGGGGTGCAGCGGGTATGCTGATAATTCCAACACTCAGGAGGCTGAGGCATGAGAATTGCAAATTTATAGGTCAACCAAGGCTACATAGTAAGACCCTCTTGTAAGAATAAAACAAGTAAATAAATAAAAACAAACATTTGGGGCTGGGAATGTGGCTTAGTGGTAGAGTGCTTGCCTAGCATTCATGAAGTCGTGGGTTTGGTTCCTCAGTACCACATAAACAGAAAAAGCTGCAAGTGGCACTGTGGCTCAAGTGGTAGAATGCTAGCCTTGAAGTTCAGAGACAGTGCCTGGGCCCTAAATTCAAGCCTCAGGACTGGCAATACATAAATAAATAAAATAGTCTTCACCAGATAGAATGATAGGTTAAATAATTTACTATATTCTTTCATGCTACCACAAGAAAGTATAGTTAAGTAGAGAGAACCACTGGTTTGTGCTGAACCATGTTCAAAGCCCAATGGCATTCTTCTTAGTCAGTGCACTACTGGATATCCTATGAACAGATGCCCTCTGACCTTACACATTGTTCAAAACCAGTTTCATGCTCCATCAGAGAAGAACCAGGAAGTCAGTGGTTTCTGAAACTAGAACATGTTTGAAAACGTATGGAGTTTACCAATAGTTGACTTTCCACTTTTATTTTATATGATAAGGCCTTGTATCTGAAGAAGTTGGTTTGGAAGTTCAAGTATCCTGACTTTTTCTTTTGCTTTCACAGAAGGAAGAAACCTGCTGAAAAATGAGGTGAATTAATGCTTGGGTACTCAGGAACCCTGGACAGCTACATGAGGTGTTTAAAAACTGCCCTCACCATCTTGCCAAACAAGTCTCTGCTCATGAGGCCTAACAACATGAACCAGCCAAGAAAGGACAGTGTCCTGCCGTGTAGGAACAGTGACTGCTGACCACGGAGAGCAAACTGGGCCAGTACCATGAAGGAAGTGGTTTATTGGTCACCCAAGAAGGTGGCAGACTGGTTGTTGGAGAATGCTATGCCAGAATACTGTGAACCTCTGGAACATTTCACAGGCCAGGATTTGATCAACCTAACTCAAGAAGACTTCAAAAAACCCCCATTGTGCCGAGTCTCTTCTGACAACGGACAGCGGCTCTTGGACATGATAGAGACCCTGAAAATGGAGCACCACATGGAAGCACACAAAAATGGCCATGCCAACGGGCACCTCAGCATTGGCGTAGATGTCCCCACCCCTGACGGCAGCTTCAGCATCAAGATTAAACCCAATGGGATGCCAAATGGGTATAGGAAAGAGATGATAAAGATCCCCATGCCGGAACCAGAGCGCTCCCAGTACCCCATGGAGTGGGGCAAGACTTTTCTGGCCTTTCTTTATGCACTTTCCTGTTTTGTTCTCACCACAGTGATGATCTCGGTCGTCCATGAACGAGTACCTCCTAAGGAGGTGCAGCCTCCACTACCGGACACATTTTTTGACCATTTTAACCGGGTGCAGTGGGCCTTTTCTATTTGCGAAATTAACGGCATGATCCTTGTAGGACTCTGGTTAATTCAGTGGCTGCTTTTAAAATACAAGTAAGTAAAGTAAAAGCTTCAAAATTCAACAATAGGCAGAGTTTGCACTCCTGACATCTGATTATCATTCGGCATCAAATATATTAATATTGGAGTCTATACACTTGAATTATTTTTTTTCCTTTTCCTTTTTAAACTACATCCTGTTAAGCTAACTAAAGCTTTGTCAACATTAAGAAAATATTGTGTTTATTTCCTGTTTTGTACAGAGATTCATATAGAATCCAGGTTAATAGGATTATGAGAAGCTATTTATTTTTACTTCAAAAGAATGGCCTCAGGCATTTTCAGGGTGCAGGTTATTGAATAACAGATAAACTACCTAGTCTTGTTTGATGCTACTAACTTATTAAGGAAATTGTTGGCAGTTGGTCAAATCACTGTAAATGTTTGAGTAGCTTTTCCCATGCAGTTAGACCTGTAAACCTTACTAATTGTTTCCACATGGAATTCAGAACAGCTTATCCCACAGTGACTTGGGATGTTGGGAAGTTGATTCCTTAGGACTATGACTTCATTTAGGTAGATGTAGTGCCCAGGTACCTAGTGGATTTCCACCTTTTGGAATGTGTAGCACTTAAAGCCTATGTGACTATGCCAGTCCAGGTTCTTGGGATAAGTAGGCAGCTTCACTTTGTTTCCAGTAGGTTCAGAGTGGCTTTCGTGCCTTACATTCTAAACTTAATTGGGGCCTTGGGTAACTTCGGTAAACACTTGCCTTTGGTTTGAATTAATTGTGTTTGTCATTGGTACTGATTTTCTTCTGAGTGGAATATCTTCATGGCTTTTCCTGCATGGAGGTTGGGAATCAGTTTAAGGAACAAGAAGTTCTCTGTGGTGAATGGTGTTTTCATGCCCTATACTGTAGTTGAATATTAAACAGATCATCTTAAGTCAAGAAAACAAATTGTGAGCTGAGTGTTCATGCTGCACTTTCTCTTCAGTTCCCCCCACCCACCCCGTGGGCGTGGCGTTTTATAGAGACTTTAAATTTATAAATTATGTACCTATAAATGGAAATGAAGACAGTGCCTGACTTTTATTTCTTCTTTTCTCTTTTTTTCTTTCTGGCCAGGGGAAGACTTAGTTTGGATAAAGAAAATCATGAGGAAGTAAATGTTTGTTTGGGGCTGGTTTGACATAATTTGAAATGCAGTTGTTGGTTGGGCTGCTTTTGATTTGGTGAAAAACCTGTTTATGGTGTTTTCATTTTGAGAGCCTAAACAAAGAAGAACAGGATTTAGAAGTAATGAGATGCTCAGAAGTCATTTTGGACTGTCAAATTTGGACTGCTTTTGTTTTACACTCTGTACACTGCTTTTGTCTTATACTCTGTTTGGCTTTTCAATTTTTTTTTTCATTTAAAAGCCCAGTCAGGGTGAAATGCCAGTACTATTCCTTTATGAAGGCCATGTCAGCTCAAATTATGCTTCCCACTTTTTCCTGATGTCTGTTATTTTGTTTATATGAGTTTGTTTTTTCATCATAGTCCCGACATCCAAATAAATAATTTATTGCCCCCAGAATATAACTCTCAGAAAGACATACCATGATTGTCACAGAACTGTTATTTTTTTTTTTTTTTTTTTTGTCGGTTGTGGGGCTTGAACTCTGGGCCTAGGCGCTGTCAGAACTGTGATTTTTTAAAATATTCTTGTTGTAAGAGAGCTCCTAACTAGAACACTATAATTTCTTGAAAATTAGCCCTGATCTTTTTCCCAGCAGGGAAATTTCCCCACAATCTGTTTATCTTTATACCTTCTAATTTCATTATTTTTCTGGTGCTTATTGCCAGGATTATAGTCATTTATGTATTTAAATAGTTCAGCAGCAGTAAACCAGTTGATTTGTGTCTGGTGAAAAATTAACACAGTTCTGGGATGTAGGTAGCCTGAGTTCTTGCCCAGCCCTGGCCTATCATATTGGACAGCTTGGGTGAATTCCTTAGTCTCAAAAGCCTTGTTTTTCTTAGAGAAAATATGGGCCTTTCAGTATAGATTTTTGTTGTCCTATGTAACTATGAATTGATCCTAATGCTGTTGGCTAGGCCATAAGTTGCATGCAGTTTTAACTAGCTTCAGAGTGTTTTTGTCCCAAATGTATTCAAATGAAGAGTCTTCATAAGTCTTCTCTCTGAGCTCTGGTGGAACAGAGACAAAGAAAATGGAAACAGGCTATTGTTGTAAGCATCCTCCATCCCTGACCTGGGCCATATCCCTGCTCTCCGGTCTCCTTTGAGACACCTTGATTAGAGGCTCAGCAGCCTCTAAAGGGGTAGGCAAAAGAGATGATACATGAGCAGCAGTATTGATGAGCTTCCTTTCTCTGGCACTCACAAAGATTAAAATCTTTTGTAGTATCAGAGAGACTCCTTTCTAGTTAATTGACTGTTAAGAGTATAGCAGTTCTATTCATGCAGCGTTTTGAAGAAATGAGTCATTCTAGTTATGGGGTATCATGATTTAACAGAGTTAAACCTCTACCTCTTATTTCATTCTTTTGAGTTTTAACCCCTCACCCCAACCTCTGCTAGGAGGTTACCAACACATTTTATTCAACCCTCTAATTTGGCTACTAATTCCCAACAGGGCATTTTACTTGATTTTAAGAATACTAGAACTCTTAAAACAAATCAAAACAATAAAACATCAGCCTAAACCAAACTGTGGCTCATACCTGAAATCCGAGCTACAGTAAGCAGAGATCTGAGGATCTTGGTTTGAAGCTATTCTAGACAGACAAATTCAGGAGACTCTTATGTTCCATTAACCAGTAAAAAGCCAGAAGTGGAGTTGTAGCTCAAGTGGGAGAGCACCAGTCTTGAGTGGACAGTCTAAGGAACAGCACCCTGACTTCAAGCCTTAGTACTAGCATGCATACACATATGCCAGCCTATTCCTTAGCCTTTATGCTTTCTGTTTAGAAAAGAAACAGGATGAACTGTAGAGGATGCCTTACTGAGATCTTAGAACTAGGCCCAAATCCCCCAACAACAACCCTATAGTCAGATCTGGGAGATGCTGAAAACCTTGATGTTGAATTTGTATTACTATGACATTTGGTTGGTTCTGTGTTGTATAGGGTAGTCTTTTACTGTTAAAAGTTTTGGATTTCTGTACTTTTTCCTTCCTTTCACTTTTTACATCTCCCCATCATGTCTGAAGATATATATGCTTGTATATACATGTATCCATGCGGGAGTTCCGTGAGAAGTGGAAAGCAGCGATAATGCCTGTCCTTGAGAGCTGTTTTGGTTTTTAAAATTGTAAATAATGTTGTCTCCCCATTTAGAATTGGACTTTCAAGCCACTGACTAGGAAAAATTCCTGGGAAATCTCTGCATTTCTGTCAGACATCACTGCAAAACAGGTATCCCTTGTTTTAAGAAAGCATGATAAAGAGTATACAGTATTACGCTTATAGATGATAAAGCCTAAGGACTTTTCATGCATGACTAAGTCTTGGCTAGCACCGTGGCACCTCTGCGTAATATGGGTGGCCCCACTCTGTCAAGCCAATGCAAACCCTGGCAGAGGAGAAGGCCCGAGGGGCAGGACTGTAGAGTTTCCAATCAAAAGTTGTCTCGTCATCAGAGCAATCTTATGACTGAGTGTGGTGATCAGAATACCTCAGACTCAACTTGTCTAAAACCAGATTTGGTAGTTGTTTCTTCTAATTTATTTGTCCTCCACTTGGGCCAGTGGCATTTTCTCAAAAACTAGAACAACTCACTTCCTCTTATCCAGTTAGTGTGAATTCTGTAAATTCTACGTTCAGATATATCTCTTCTTTCCATTCCTAACTGGTGCTCTGTAGTAGGAGCTTAGGTAGGAAACCAACTCTTTAGCCAGAAGCTCAGAGTTCTTCATAATCAGATCCCAATCAAATCTACCATACTTCTAGCTACCTCACTCCAGATTTCTCTATCTCCTTAAGTGCCTATCACTTACCATTCTATTGGTTGCATATGTGTCTCCTCCACTGCTAAATTCCACAAAGGAGGAAAACAAGATCCAGTCATCTTCCACCTCTGTATGGGGCTGCCTGGCTCAGATTCTGGCATATAGAAATACCTTGAAAGTTGTTTATTCCAGATCCATTCATTTATGCAGCTTAAGTCCACTGAGCAGCCTACTGTGTGTGGGCACTTGTAGGCCCTGGGGATGCTACAGTGAGCAGAGGATTTGGATGCTCTTATGAAGCTTGTAGTCTGGCCAGGGTTAAGGCAAACAGTGAGCAAATGTATAATGCCATGGAAATGGAGAAAGACACGGCGTATAAAGGGCTAGTGAGTGTTGGAAATTGTGGGGCAACAGTGGTCATTTAGATTGAGTAATTAGTAGGTTACTAATGAGATGACAAGTTAGCAGATCCCTGAATCAAATTGGGGAGACTCTCATGCAGGTGTTTGGGGGAGAGAAGTCTAGGCAGAAGACAGCAAGTGGATTTTTAGAGGCTTATTTGAGGAATACCCAAAGGTCTAAATGGCCCAATGGATTGGGAGAAGGCCTTGAAGTGCAAACAGTGCTCAGCTAGGGCAGGTGGGGGATTTTATTTCAAGTGTGGTGAATCACTGGAGTATAATAATGTGATTGAAAGATTGGCTGCACAGGCAACAGAGAAGGAAGCGATGAAGCTGCAGCGTAGTGAGGACACCGCTGCGGTGGTCCCAGTGGACTAAACTTCACTCAGGTGTTTGTCCAGTGAATAAAATTCATGCTGGGAGGAAAGATGGGATGAACTCTTTCTAGAAATTTTTGCTTCTGTTGGGTTTGGAGGTGCCTATCTTTTGTAGCTACTCGTCCATCTTCTCTTACACTTCTAACATGATTTTCAGCTCTGTCTGCAAATCTTTGATTTTTGTGTGAAATTTTTAGGGAGATAAGAGTTTACTGGTTCAGAGGCTGTTGCAATGTGACTATATTGGTCGAATCATGTATATCCTGGTAAAAGTTTCAGTGGTTTATAGGGTTAGGTTTTTGCCTAAAATGACTAACATA